TATATACACACACACACATATAAATATATTCATTCATATATACTGTAGATACAGTATATATACACAGAGACATATATGCATACTCAGTCAGATCGCCCTGGATATGAACACCTGTTTGTGAGTGGTTGTGAGCATGTGTGTATATACAAGATTTCTTCAATGGAATATTTAATAGTTGTTTTCATCTCTAACATTTATGCTGGTTTATGCACATTACCTTTGAAGAAAACCTCTCAGATCTTCCATTTTCTTTCATCTATATAGGTACTTTAAAGTCAGAACGTAGAATTATTTACATTACAATAAGTTTATCATTAATTGTTGTAGTAAAATTATATAGATTTTTAATTTAAAACTTCTCAAACAACCCAATAAAATCAAATTAAGAATATTCGCACATCTGCATGTGTGATAATATTAAAGTAAGCATTGGTGATTTTAAAATAATYTAAAAGTTTATGTCAGAATAAACCTTTGAACTGAACCTTCAGCTCAGGTAAAAAAAACATAATTTAGATGTAATAATTTTATTTTCTCAGGAACATCAGGAATTTTTAGAAATAGCAGAACAAGTAGTGCTTTATATCTGTTCGTTTTAAGACATACAAGCAGATTAACACAGTCTCTTGGTCTGATTGTGTCTACATTTGGATTATACCCGGGTGAGTCACATGTTCACAGGGACCACCAGATGGACCTCTAACCAATCCACATGTTGATCCCTAAATCAAATGAGCCCTCAGACCAATAATCCCTTTCATCCAATTCAGGGATYGTATAGAGCTCTAGAGACTACCATGAGCTTCAATCTGAATCACAGAAAGCCCTGTGGTCCAGGAAATTCTGACGGGCCTCAAACACACCAGAGGCTTAATTGCCATTGATGCCTAATAGTTTGGCTTAATGACAGTTCAGCATTTTGAATTCAGACTCAAACCCCACCAATGAAAATATATAAAGCATTTTTTATTACAAAAAATGTAATATTAGACACAGGTATCAACCGTTCCTATTGAGGAATTATGGCATTTATTATAATATAACTAAAAGACATGCTCATCATATGACAAAAGATTGTATATTAAAGTCTAAAGAGAAAAAAAAAAAGATTTGAGGGAGTTTGTTTAACATCGACAAAAACAAGCAGTCCAAAAACAAATCACGTAAATTCACGTGGTGTGAGGAGATGCTGTCAGGGTTGTTACTTTACATCTTTTCCAATGTTGGTTGAGAAAATGTTACACGTTCAAACAAGGCTGCATTTGCTGCCCAAGTTTTGATGAGACTGTGAAAGACATTGAACCAGCTGCAGTTTCCGTCAGGTTAGTAGCTGCTGCAGTGATTTTTGTATCTCCACTGATGAAAGAGATGATGTAGCATGCTTATGTTTGATACCGACGCTTTCATTTCAACTGTGTTTTCCTGTGAAATGATGCTGGGAATTTTAAAAGAACTTCACCCGGAGAACCCGGATGTAAAAAATTTCTGTATCACAGAATCCGACCACTGTTGTTGTTTATACAGTACAAACGGCCGAAATGCCACAGATTTTTTTCCATTTTACTTAAAGTGCTTGTGACATGAAATATATTGAATGAATATAAATGCATTGTTGAAAAGACAACGTCAATAACATATTGCAAATATAATTTCCTGCCGCTGTGATAAACAGTTGTAGAGTTGTAGATATTTGCATGTGAAGTAACAGAAAGTGATGTCAAAGGGGAATATCTGCATGCGAACAGAGCACTGAATAAATAACTAATGACACAGACTGTAGGGAGGAATTTGAGGTTTCTTTAGATCAGTGTTTCCCAAAGTTGGGGTCGGGACCCAAAGTGGGGTCCCGAAACATCAATATGGGGTCCTGAAAAGATTTTATGAATTAATTACATTTTTGTCTTAGTTGTTACAAAGGAGTGAGGTTAGTATATTTTAAATGGATAAATGTAGTATAAAAATATTGTAACTATGCCCATGTTTAGTTGACCTGATACAAATGTTTACCATCCAAAAAATATCTAGGGGAACAGGTCTCTGCTACTGTCATTTTGTGGGTCAAAAGCTGAAAAGTTTGGGACCCACTTCACTTTGGTTCCCAAAGTTGGGCTTGGGACCCAATTATGGGTCATGAAGCACCTTGGATAATCTCCAGAAATCAATTTAAAGGGTAATAAAATAATTGCTGATGTAATATTTTCCCTATAACTATTACAAAAACACAAAATCAGTATAAATAAGTATTTATATTTGTGTACAAGGTGTTTAGATTGTCAAAAAGCCTGTGTTTTTAGGGTTATTAACAAAGTTTGTGTACTCAGACCAGTAATATTTGGGGTCACAAGTTTTTGCCATGGATAKTTTGTGGGTCAGAAAATAAAAAGTTTGGGAACCACTGCTTTAGATTATTTTGATTCACTATCAGAGAGAGATGAAGACGAGTCAGAGTTCAATAATATTGTTTCAATGAACAAAGACCAGGGAGTTATTTTTCTTAAAGAGTTCCCCTTTGATGTCACTTCCTGTTTCACTTTGGTTGAGCCAAGTTTAAAGGAAAATATGCCAGTTATGTTACAAAAAGTGTAAAATCACATGTATTATGCAAGGTTTCTTAAATAAAAAGGTATTTTCAGTGACCTTTTGTTTTCAAAGGATAGGCACAGGCACTTTAAAAACCKCTTTTGATTGGGACTAAAAACCATCTCCACAGGCTCTATTATAGACTCCTGAATGCAGCTCCTGCAATAATCTGTCACCCAGTGAGTAACACTGGTGTGACGCTACATACACTTTTGACAGAATTAACCCAATACAAGTGTAAATCATGTTTTGTAAAATGTGATTTTTGATGAACGCGATATGATAAATTAACCATCCAAGTGATCATGTTGTCTGCAGATATTTAAAATCTTTGTCAAGATTCAACAAAAAACATCTTTACATGACACAGGTGCCTGTTTCCAGCAGTCACTGTGCAACAGGCAGGGTACACCCTGGATCAGTTGTAAGTCCATCACAGGACAACACAGAGAAAAATGAGCAATCATGCTCTCACCTAGGAACAATTCAGAGTTACCAATTAACCACACTCACATGCATGGTTTTGGACTGTGGAACAACCCATGCATGCATGGGGAGAACATGGAAACTTCACCCAGCTCAAGACTGGGATGCAATCCTGAAATTTTCTCACTGAGAGTCGACAGCTCTGCCAGTTGCACCACCGTGTTGCCTCACCAAGGAAATGTGAAATCTAAGAAATACAAAGGCTCGCTTCAATCAGAGATTAAAGGAACAAGCAGAAAGGACTAGAAGAGAAAACAGAGTTTTTTAAAAGTTGTTTAAATTTTAGAAATATGCATCTTTTGTACAGATAAAGAGCCAAGTGAAACATTTCATTATGAACAGCTGTTCAAAAACTGGTTAGATGTTTTCTGAACTTCTCTCCAGTGTCTCTAAAAGTCTGTGCAGAATTAGTTTTCCTTCGATATTTCTCTTACATTAAATAAAGTTTAAAATTTCAAAGTATACTTTGTTTAGCTCAAACCCCTGCAGAGTTGAAATGTTTGTACCTTTATCATTGATGTAAGCATTAACGAGCTAAATGTTTACACTGGTGACAAGTTTTGTATTCATATGCACAACCCACAGCTCCACTGTTTATTCCTAAAATTTCCTGGAAAAGCTTCCAGTAATGAGGTCTATTTCTACAGGTTATGCAGACCTGTTTGTAGTTAATAACCAACAYGGCTCAAAATTTAGCTAAAATATCAGTACAGCTTTTCAAATATATATTTTTATTAAAAAATATAATACACAAAACTACCAACAGCTGGAAAAACTTTACATTGAATCCCCTTTTAAATTTCATGCACAGATGCAATTATATGCATATATCTTTTTTACTTGATTTAAAAGCTGGCCATAACGTACAATCTCAGTACACAAGCGAACACACTGTGTCACTGAAAGTTTATGCTAACGTGTTAAACATGCTGCTTTCTTTTTTCTCCCTCAGCAAAATYCCATGCAAGCACAAACGTTCTGAGTTCACCAAGCAGTAAAATATGTMGAACATGCATGCCTAAAGCATATAGAGCATGTAAAYCGCAACTTCCTCTGTTCAAGAAAGAGATAAAACTTCAAAGATTCGACTTTCACTAAACCTACTGTCGCATGGATGTTTTTAAATACATTTTCTAACCGCTCAGTTTTCTCTTTCAGAAGAAGCAAGATTACACCAATCCCTCATCTTTCTGTGCACGACTGGAGGTTAGTTTGTGTAGCAGTCTCCTGCATGGTCAGTAAGAGTAATTAGGGGTTAATAAGATGGAAGTACATGTGGGGGAAGGGGGCTGACTGGGACTGGGATTTGGGGGTAGTGAAGCATCAGAGATGGTTTGGACGGGGAGTGTAAAAAAGTCACCCTTCTGTGGCTGCAGGTTTTCTGTTAGCACTTTTACTCCCCTCACAACAAACAAAGGGGTCCCCTGAAGACGGACAGACAATCAGAAACACACACACACACACACACACACACACACACACACACACACACACACACACACACACACACACACACACACACACACACACACACACACACACACACACACACACACACACACACACACACAGTGAAGTGCACTCCCACACTGTGGTCTTCACGCAGAGTCGGGGCTCCAGCTGGACAACAAGAAGAGGGACTTTTGATCATCCATCGGATGAATCAAGCTGCAGGAATRCCAGGAATCTAACATGAGATTTATTTACTTTATACAGTCTGCAGACACTGTGTGTCACCAAAGATCAGAGAAAAAAGAAAAGAAATAAACACAAAACATGRTTAGTTTGTTTCAAAGTTAATAAATGATCCTGACAGCTACTTGCAGAGCAGAGGAGTTTGTGTTAGAAGCTGATTCACCTTTCTGCCAAGATCGATACAGATGAGGTAAAATCAGAAATGTGGCATGAACCTTAAAGAGCTGAAAAAGTGGACTACACACGCACACACGCACGCACGCACACACACACACACACTGATCACACAGCTGCCTGTGTCGTCCTTGCTCGCAGAGTAAATGAGGGTAGGATTGTCATGTAAGCAGTGAGCACTGCCTAAAACACAAAGTCAGAGTGAAGGAGAGAGAACCCTCCCTTTCACTTTTCCTTCCCTTTCCTCCTCCTTCCTGGTGTGCACAGTCCATCCTCATCAGAATCACTCACACGTTATTCCCACCTTACTGTTCCTCTTCTTTTCCTCAGATTTCGTCCCATTCCTGCCCTTGAGCCCCTTCCCTGCGTTTCTTGTGCGGTGCAGTAATGACATAACTGTGTGTCCCAGTCTGTGTGGTCAGTGTTCACCCTCCCCCCGCTCCTTTAGCTCACACACACTCACATGTGGCGGAGGCCAGCCTGGCCTGCCCCCCACCCTCTCTCTGCTTATTGTGTCCACTCATATATCAGSCTGCAGCTGACCAGTCCCTCCTCATGTCTTCTCCATCTGTCCTTCACGTTGCTCCTTTCTCCGTCCAGGAAGCACACATCGTCTTTTTTTTTAACACCCGGATAGCTGCTAATGAGGAATCTAAGGTGTGCTGCAATTCACTTAACAAGCCGTCATGATTATTATAGAGGAGTCGTGCATTTGAATGGGGTGGGGAACAGTGGTTGATGTGGTTTGCTATTCAACCCTAATGAGAAGCTGTTGACACAGAGTTACTAACGATGTGGCTTTCATTCACAGAACCGCTTCACCCCAGTAAACTGGCTACTAAAAAGTGCTAAAACGGCTCATCAGTCTCTTGGTGTCACACTATCATCATTACTACAGAGCCCCCTAATGAGGTGTGGGTGATTACATGTTTACTTGTTTGTGTTTGGGGGATGATCAGTGGCAGGAATATGGGAGGTTTCATTTGGAGAATATGTATATAAACGCAGGTTTGGTCTTGTAGGAGCAAAACTAACACAACGCTGTGAGTTACTTTGTGGGAGGAATGTGACAAACACATGTTACTAAAACTCCTATCTGCTCAGACAACTCCCTCATTCTTCCTTAAAGGCTCCAAGGAGGGGGGGGAAAAGAAAAAGAAAAGGCTTCAGGACATTTTACTGTGGTCTACTTTTTGAGAGCAAAAAAAAAAAAAAATAAAACATGTAGGAGGAAATCCCCGTCACGTTATTCCAATCAGGCTAGTGTTGTAATCCTGTTAAAGCCCGGCCTAATCGATAACCCGGTCAGTCAATCGAAGCATATCAAGAAGTCAAGATAATTAGCATGTGCAATATACAAGATGGGGCTTTTTTTTTTTCAGCTACACTTTCATTAACAGGATTTTACTGGGCTGAATATTGAAGATTTTTTTTTTGCATTATAAAGATAAAAAATACTTTTCTACGAGTAAATAACTAATGTTTTAACC